AGACGTAATTGAAATCGGTGCTATCGGCAGTGGCCGCTCCTTCGATCAGCACGTCTTCCTGTCTAGCCAATCTTCCCCACTCTGCAGGTCTCCCATTTACCATTGTATTGCTGTTCGTGTTTACCTATATCGTTGTGAACAGAGATAACCTTAGCGTTTTTCTAATATCCTTATCTTGGGCTGCGAGAAATAAACGTTCATACTGAAATACTTCACCCGTTTACTGCCTCAAATATTCAATCGGATCATTTTGATAGGCTTCTAATCATGTTTTTCTACTTGAACAGAATAGACTTACCCGTTTCATATTTTGCGTGGCCGTTCTCACGCTTGTAGCCTATTTACAATTTTTAGGCGACTTGCTTGTTTTTTAGGATCCTCTCGAGGAACCAGTATTTAGCAAACATCTTTCTTCTATTAGCCACCATCCACCATAATTATTATGGTAATGTTTTCATCATAAAAACATTTCGTTTACAGTCATTACTAAGATAAGTCATATCCTCTTAACTCTTAACCCACATCGCGCGTACAAATTTAGGATCACCGTGCTCGTTTCGTGATCGCTAACTGATCATCATATCTCATAAAGCCGCTAATTAGCCTTCATTTTCGCTATGGGCTTTTACTCCACACATAAATCGATTAAATTTTAAAAAGAACGTAAATTGTCAAAAAAATCGAATTACATATGTGCTCCTATTTTAAAATCTTTACAGTCCATACTAAGAAGATCTTATCGGAGCTGCACACAAGGCAGCCCCTACGACGGATGAGAGCATTTTAAATACAGGCTTGCATCGGCTTAATTTTGGTGATTACCATCACGCCCAACAGCACGTATCGTTTTTAATAAGGACCACCCTGAAATGCTCCGACAAAAGCACTTCGTGGTTGCTACAAACGAATTTAGACCATCTTTTACATCAACGCATGTGTAGATGATCGTGATGACACAAAACACCTGTTGATCTTGTGTATACATCGCATGCAGAGCTGGTCCTCCGCAGCAGTGAAAAGGAATGTGTTAATGAAAAGAAGGACGACGCAACAGGACCAGTATCTAGAAAAAATAGCGCAACCAGTTGCACAGAAAAAAGGATGCGCGATAAGGCACAGATAAAGATTGACAAGCGGCATCTAGATAGCTGTTCAGTCCTCAATTTTTTTTCAAACGTCACAAATTTATTTGTGAGTGGGTTACTGTGCGGTTTTTGATATCTTCCTAAACCTTTATATTGTGCTTGAGTAATATAATATGATCATCTTCATGAACTGGCTGTTGTGGACAGCGTACATGAGCAATGCAGATCCGCTGCATCAAATCTATTCTAAATGTATAATATACTCTTCGTTTTTGTATAATGTTCAAACATAGCCTACCGTCAGCGTCAGCTCGTCAAGCGCTTGACAAGCTTTGTCAACTGAAGCAAACACATCATCTGTAATTAAGTCAAGGCCTTCTATGTTATTATTAAAAAGTGTAATCAGACCTACTATTTAGTAGGTGGTACGAGATCGATGGATAATACTTCAAAAGCAAACAACAACACAATTCGACAATTTAGGAGTTAAATCCAATTATTCGTTTAACGTACAGAGAAAAGGCGCGTTGTCTAAAACCGAAGGCTCATTATTGACGGCTCCCTATCTCATAACCATCGAAACTTTATAAGTTCTTCAAGGAACAAAATTCATACATAAATAATCCCGAGAAAAGTAGTTCAACTTATGTATAAGCAAGCACAATTGAAGGAGCAATAAGAGTCTGTGTGCACTAAAAAAGAAGAAAGAAAATCGTACAATAATGCGAGGTGCTCTTAGTGGTGGTGTACATACAATTGGAAATCTGAAGTACCGTTAGGATTGGTCGTGATGGCAGTAGAGATCCGCTCCTGAGTAAAAAGGCGAAAACTCAATTGAGCAGAAACATTCAAGCATCCAAGTTTTTATATGAATAAATTGACTCAGACCTTATTTTTCTTGAGACCCTCAGCTGCTGTCTGCGCAGGTGTATTCTCAAATTCATGTTGTAAAAAATGCCTAATGCATTAGACTTCAGCCTACTATTTGATTACTTATTTTCACACGTAAGTGTTATCTATGTTAAAACAACTTAGGGCTCATAGTGAGCAATAACCACCCGTTGTACAATTAGCGTTTCATACATGGCTTTTTAAATTTCTGACCCACTATCGCCTTAAATTTTATGCTGCGCAGCTTTTTTTCGCTGCTAAAAGCATTGCAAAAATCCACTGAAGAACTTGATAGTACCCTCACGTAGACTAAGGTGTTCGAAGAGGGAGAATACTTCGGTCTTAAACTCGACTATTCTCATCAGGGGATCATTCCTTGAATGGCGTTGCAGCACCTAAGTTGAAAAGGCCTTCATCCAGATTTGGATTCTGAGCATCTCTCGAAAATTTGGCTGAAAGTACGTTATATGTCATATGTTCTAAATCAATGCTTTTTAAGAAATAGATATACACATACTGGGTGATCTGACTCTAAACTTGCTGGAAGTCCAATTTGCCAATACACTCTGGCTCATTTTTGTACGATTGGTCTTGTGCTATTGGATCTAGAGCCTTTGTGCATTGTTGAGGCATACTTGGGACATAGTTAGAAAATCATCGCTGAATTACTCATTTGATTTGAACAAAAGAAGTAAAAACGAAATTACGTTACGTACAATGGAGAATTTATATATAGCTATCTCTACCACGCCTATGACTCAACCGAGGCATTACTGTAATTGGTCACGCAAAGATATAACATGCTGAAAGCTATTGTACAACAAATTTTGCGATATACTGTGAATGTTCTGCTATTAAACTATATGGACCACTTGCGCTAGATCCAAATAAATGACAGCGCTACGTTCGGGCACACATTTTGTTCATTACTTGGATATAACGTTTATTCTGTGGCTGGAAGACCAGCACGAAGGATATGGACCACTTTTTTAGATTAAGGAAAAGCGGATACTCTCGCCTTTTGTTTCGCGCGGGAATATAAACCTACTGCAACTTAGCTAAATGCATTCCTGTAAAGGCTGCTATAAACGAAGGTAAACAAGACAACCTTACATGCAGCCAAAGGTATCGTGGTCACATGTGTTAGCTTGTGTCAACGCTCCGGTACCATAAGCTGAAGATTACAGAACAGATGGAAGCATACAGTTGTCAAACTTATGATTCGTGATTGCCTCGACACGAGATGGATATGCCGAAGCTCACTTGGACCTGAACAAACACAGAGCTCTCCGGCTGGAAGGAGCAATACCACGAGGTACTTCTTATGTCACTGGGGACCAGGATAAGACAAACATATCACAGCATCGTCGTTCACTACCTATCCTTTTTGTATTTAAAAATAGTGACATATCCTTGTAATTTATGGGCTATCATTGCTGCCTCGCTTCCTCCGACATATTTATGCAAATTGGGCGGTGTCTCAAGGCTTTTCATTGTAGTAAGCAATGAATAAACGATCATAATATTAATTTCAACGGAAAAAACCGGACATAGGTTTGATAATAAAAAATGTTTGGGCATTCAAAGATTTATTATTACTTATTTCCGATTAAAATACAATATTCTTAGAACTAAAACAGATAGCGTGTTATTGAGCGTCGGTGGTGGCTAACTAATGAAAGGGCGATGGCATCATATAGTTATCTTTACGTTTCTAATCAGTGTTTTTAGTTAAGGCTGGTTTGGGCTTGAGTATTTTGCATAAGTACCGTAACGAAATGGAACGGGTTCTTGCCGATCACTCGAATGTTGCTAAGCCAAACATCTGCTAACTACAGTTCGTTATTTAAGGCTTGATATACAATGATTGGCTGTCATGTAAGATTACCTATTCCATTACCAAGACTTGTCGCTTTTACACATTTTGGTCCAGATGTGGGGAGCGGTAAGTGGGTAGCCACCACGTCGTCGGCATGTACAAAAACTACGCAGCAGAAGATATGGATGCCTCTGTGCGCGCGTATGCTGCGCGCGCCAAAATTAGCCGCGTTTGTGTCGATCATCCTGGCGCTCCGGATTGATCGATTATGTATCTAGCGAGCTTAACAAAAGCATCGTGGAGCTACGAAAGCCTAGGCCGCCAACAATCAAGGGAGCAAATATAGAGGGCTTTCTCCGTGAATGGGTGGTATGAATGAAGATTAATGGTCTGCCAGTCAACCATGAGGCAGTGCCGGCGAAGGAGAACGACATACACCGAGTCAAGGAAGCTGTGACGCGTAGTACCTACTTCGTCACGAAACACTGGGTATCGTTTTGACTCAAGCTTCATTCCGTTCTATCGCTAGAAGACAGCCAGATAATCAATCGTTTTAATGGTTTTAGGAAGAACTAGGCTTAAGCAGTCTACGGAAGTCCTCTAACGAGTAAACTAAGCACGTCATCTGTAACGGGGCACCCTGAAGCTTGTGCTGGTAACAGTACAAGCTACTTATTCTGGTAACAGAATAAGGCGGTTCCTCGGAACTTCACGTACACTCGTACGTGCAGAAGAAGACGGTAAGGAGAAGCGAGTACTTGGTTAAAGTAAAAAGTAGAACTGTATTTATCATAGTTAATGTCTGCAATAAATCACTATTTATCTTCATCTAACTATGTCTAAATACAAATGTGTATGTCAATTATCTGCTCACCACTCATTGCGTGCGTCTGTCGTGGCGCGTCTTCGTTGGTTGATATAATGGCCTATATCAACCAATTAGGAACTACTCGTAAGCGCTGCATAATATTTGTCCTTATGACAATATTCTGAGAATATAACTCTTATAGTTATATTCTATTAACAATTTCTTATAAATTGTTATGTAACGATTCACCCCGTTACATCACCCCCCCCCCTATACCATCAGTCACTTTAGTGACTGATTGACTAAATGGATACTCGTCCCAAATCGTTTGGGACAGGGTTTGCACTTGTTGGTCCGAGTCCACTTTCCAACATCTCATCGCATGGTTAACAAGCCCATGCGATGCGCGAGCAAGGCCGCCGAGAGCGCGTCCGCACGTCTCTGTGCGGACGCCGAAGCAGAAACCACAGCAACTGATGTCTCATCGGTTGCTGAAGTGACTCAGCCTGTGTCACCTGGTGATGCAGGCGCTCGTCATGAAGACACTCATGTCTTCACAGAGTATGAGCTCGGTGTCTCATACTCTCCTGATACGGAAGACGGATCCGTATCGACGGCGATCGAATCCAAGCCGCCTGCCAAGCGTGGCATGGATGACGCTTTGCGTCGTAGCATCTTTGGTTCATCTGATGAATCAGATGAACCATCGCCAAAGCGAAGGCGCTCGAGGTCGCGAGACTCGGGCGCTCACAGTGGTGTCGGTTCTCTTATTGACACCACTTCGCAGCGAGGTACCAGTCCTTCTGTCGGCACGTCGCAAGAAGAGCGGGACCGCAGTGTGTTGCGTCTCGCTCCCGAGAAGAAGGCATGGATGCCTCCAAAATCCGTCATGGATCACCTGTCGGCGACGACGAGTGATCGTTATCGAACACGGTTGTTCGATTCGTCAAGGATCCATCACCTTGACCCCAGTGCGAAAAACTATCGCGCTGAGAATGAATTCTTCATCGATGCTTTCTTTCGACATCGATGGTACAGTGGGAATCACAAACGTGATGGTCCCTCACTGCTTCAAGCGTGGAACGCCTACATCTATAACCTTGAGGATGTAGGTCGTGACGTTTGGAACGACAAACTTATCAAAGCTCGTGATAAGTTTGAAAAGCGAACCCCGACAAGTACACGCTACAAGCTGCATCGTCTGTCTAGGGAGAAAGGATTACCCTGCCTCTCTTGGGGAGACTCGTGCCCGTGTTCTGTGAACAACTCTGCAAGAGCACCTAAGGAGGCTTACCTCCTTACTAGCCCGTGGTGGCGCGTTCGTATCTCTAGTGAGATGTACGAAGGGATTGACAACCTGAAATACATTTACGACCGTGCCGGGAAGACTTTCTCCGGCGGTCCTTCTGCGGCACAGGATGTGCCGCGTCGTACTGCTTAACCAGACCCAGTACGTCAACCATCAGTTGGGAGCGGGGCTCCCAAGTATCCCAGGACAGGGGATAGCCGCGCCACCAGACGAGATAACTCGTCCGACGTCCGTCCACGTCGCGGTGGTTCAACAGCTGCTCAACCAAATAGCGCTGGCCACCGTGAGAGTCCTCTAATGGAGGTGGAGGACGAGGGAATACGCTCTCCACACAATCGTGGAGAAGCGTGTGTTCCCGAGAGCTTCTTTGATCGCGTAACGCAAGGGTTACGCGGCGATCTCGAACATGAGCGGGACAGGCGTCTCCAACTGGCGGACGCTGTCTCGAAACATCGAGCTGAGTTTGCCTTTGCTCAGCTTGAGAACGAGAGAGCTCTGACGTCTCTGCGTGACGAGCTAAGGGTAGCTCGTGGGAATGTTGATCGGTCTCGGGATGAGATAACTGCTCTTCAGACCCTTGTCGATGCCTATCATCGGGAGCACAAGGCTCTCTGCGAGATGCTTGAGCGCAAGGGCGTTCTTCATCGGAAGAAGCAGCGTACTGATGGTACGGCTTAAGCCGACCAACGTAAAATGTGGGATGCGTTCGCATCTTACGTGGTAACTCGATCGTGTATGCATTGCCTAGGCGGTGCAATACACGAAATGAGCCGATGTACTTGGGTAGAAGTTTACTACTACCCAAGTTAGTCACTACATGCTTTGGTAGATTAACCGTAGACAGTAGGACTAAGTCACCTTTATTAAATAAAAGAGTGTTTGCCCTTCCATTCTCGTCAGCGTTTTGCTTTTGCTTATCCACCGCTTCGGCGATGGAGTCTTGCACAAAACGGACTACCGTTTCACGAGCCAGTATGAACTCATCTGATGACTCGTTAGCTTCAGTGCGCTGTGAGTGCACTGCAGCAACATCAACCTTTTCTTCAGTGAGGGCTTCCGCACTCTCACTGGCATCATCTTCTTCGATATCGATGTTATCGATATCGGCATCAAACGCAATGACCTCTTCGTCAGAGCGTGATGAGCGTGAACCAATTCGGTTTTTGCTCGCGCGAGTCCCTCCCCCCCTTAAACCAGAGTTACACTCTAGTAATGTGGGTACACTCGGATGGCGTAAGCCATTCACGTAAAACGGTGTATGTGTCGTGGACGCATGCACCGAGTTGTTAATGGCAAACTCTACCATTGGCAAAAACGCACTCCAACTCTTAAAGGAGTGTACGTATCCTCGAAGTATCTCTTCAAGGACACGATTGGCACGTTCCGTCTGACCATCTGACTCTGGATGATCAGATGTAGACATCTTCAAGCGCGTTCCGAGTGATTTGAACACGGAACGCCAGAAATCAGCTGTGAAGCGTGGATCTCTGTCTGATACGAGTGAACGGGGCAACCCATGAAGTCGAAAGATGGTGTCAATAAAGACACAAGCACAGCCACTTGCCGTGATTGACTCTGGTACAGCCACTAGGTGTACCATTTTGCTGAATCTGTCAACAAATACGAGAATACCCGTATTCCCGCGTGCGTCTTTGGGTAACCCGAAGACAAAATTTATCGAGATGGATTCCCAGCACTCAGCCGGAACCGGTAGAGGCTGCAAAGGTGCACGCAGTGGAGGACTGGACTTCACTCGTTGACAGACTTCGCATGCGCGAACATACTTTTGCACAAACTGATACTGGCGGGGCCAGTAAAAGTCTCGACTCACCGTGAGATATGTTTTCTCTCGGCCACGATGTCCTCCTATAGGAGCATCGTGATACTCGAACATGATCCGCAAACGCAGATCAGTATCATTTGGGATGACAACACGTGGTGTGTCACCAGAAACGGCTGTATAACACAGTAAACCGTTGCGAGTAGTGTATCGATCTGATGCAGATCGATACGCAGACAGCAATCGTTTCAACGATTCTCGAGATGGCTGTGAGAGATGTGTTAACAACTTCACAATCTCACCATCTTGGGCATACGCCCGCCTCACATCATCATGCAACGTAGAATATGGGTTGGTGGACGTCAAAACCGCAACAGTGGCTGTCTCACTGTTGGGTTTCACGACTGGTTCAAAGTCGGGCCGACGTGAGAGTGCATCAGCGACGACATTAAGTCGTCCTGGTTTGTACTCTACCGTAAAGTTGTATTCTGCAAAGAATGATAACCACCGCGCCATTCGCTGTGAAAGGTGCGGGCTGTTTGCTGCCGTGCGTAACGACGCATGGTCAGTGTAAACAATGAAGGGTCTATCTCCTAATAGATAGACTCTGAACTTCGCGAGTGCATACTTCATGGCAAGGAGTTACTTGTCATGCACTGGATAGTTCCGCTCAGCTGGTTGCAGCTGACACGACTGATAGCAGACGACGCGTTCTACACCTTCAAGATCGTACTGCATTAATGCACAGCCGATTGCGAAATCGCTGGCATCACAGACCACATGAAATGGCCTGTCCTGATCGGCTATTGCTAGGACTGGGGATTGTATCAAGCTCTGCTTGATACCATCAAAGGAGCGCTGACATTCAGCGTTCCATAACCACCTCTCGTTCTTTTTCAACAAACGAGAGAGGTGCACAGTCATCTCGGCGTAATTGCGTGAATACTTGTGCAATTACGCCGCTAGCCCAAGGAACTTTTGAAGACCTTTGACATCAACTGGCATAGGCCAGTCGGTGATCGAGTTGATCGTTTCGGGATCAGGACGTACACCCTTCTTACCAACGATGCACCCGAGAAGTGGTATTTCGCTTGCTGCAAATATACACTTCTTGAGGTTTGCATGCAATTGATGCTTTCGCATGATTGTAAGAACCTGTCGGACGTGGTACCTGTGAACCTCAACGTCCAACTTTCCATCCATAGCCCGACTATGGATGAATACGTCATCGAAATAACTCGGCGCGAATTCTCGTACTGGTCTCAACAGATGTGATACACATCTGTTGAACGTGGCAGGGGCATTACTAAGCCCTTGTGGCATTACTAGCCACTCCCAGATCATGCCGCTAGGCGTGCTAACTGCGGTATTGGGTATATCCCGTTCTCGCATAAGGATTCGATAGAAGCCATCCATCAAATCCATGGACAAAAAGGTGGTACTCTTTGACATACCATCAATGATTACGTCCTTCCTCAGTATCGGCGTCTGAGCCGGTACCGTTGCAGCATTCAACTTGTTAAATGCATGCACTATCCGCCACCCCCCTGTTGCTTTTCGCACACAGAAGGTCGGAGAGCTATGTGGGGAAGTTGATTCCCTCACATGGCCCGCAGCTAAACGATCGGCAAAGAACTTGTCGATCGCAAGTACTTGTTCACGAGGCAGTGGCCACTGCTTCATGACACAGTACTTCGAGCCTGGTTTAAGCTCGACCTCGTGTCGAATACCTTTATCCTTCGGTAATTCGCACGGAACAGTTTCAGGGAATACATCCTTGAATTCAACCAAATCTTCATAGAGAGGATTTGTCTTGAGCGATTCCCACGATTGGGAGTCATATCGCTCAATTCGTGTCTTTTCATCTAGAACACTCTCGTCCATAGATGAACTACTGAGAACTCTCTCGTTCTCAATGAACACTGTTGCTGACCTTATGTCGGCTACACACTCGTCGTCAGCGACGAGTACGCAGATCTGCTTGACTTTGCCACTACGCAGATCACGCAAGAACCTTTAATGTTCGAGCGTTGGCAACTGAGTGATCTCCGAAGTCAACTTCGGAGGCGCAATCAGATCAAGTGTATAAGCGCCTACACTTGATCCGTCATTGACTAGGACATTCAATGTCTCTGTCATTTCCTGGGGACTTATTCCCTCAGGCCTCGAAGGACTTATTCCTTCGGCTTCCCGGGGACTTATTCCCTCGGGTTTCGGGGAACTTATTGCCGCCGTATTTGTAATATCGGGACTTATTCCCTTTACTTCCTCTAGCTGGGGTTGCGCAACCACAGCGAGATCCTCTACGAAAGACTCTCCAGTCGATCTAGGATTATCGTTTCGCTTAACCTGAGCGATCGATTGTTTCTCTTCTAGATGTTCCCCGCTAGGGATACATCTTTGTCCCGGTCCACTCGACTTATTCGAGTGGTGGACCTTCGGCGCAGCCTGTGTTTCCTCACAGCTGCCGGAACTTTGCTCCGAAGTGTAGCTATTTGTTACACTAAGGTTTTGTGCAGTCGTACTAACGACCGTACCACAAGTGAGGCCATCACACTCACTCGTAGTACATCCACACGCTTGTGGACGCTCCAAAACGTTCATCAGATGGCCATCTGATGAACAAGCGGCAGGCATCGTCACTGTTCGATGTTGCCAGTTTACCCGTGGTTCGTACCTTCTGAGCCACGGTATTCCAAGGATGACATCAAATTTGTCATCCAAATCCAATACGATAAAGTCATCGTCATATTGGGTATCTTCTAGCGTATAGTGGATCTTCACTATACGCTTCATGACTGATTACGGATGCGCCTGTCGCAAGACGTACCGTCATCCTCGTAGGAGGTGTGTCACATTCACTGAACTTAAAATGACCATCTTCTAGCGATTGGCGTCGCACAAAATTGTTGGACGCCCCACAATCGACTAGAGCTCGAAGGGACAACTTATTCGTCACTTCGAGTTTCAAGGTAATGAGTGAGATCTCATTACCTAGAGCAGCAACGCACAACGTTTGTGTGTTGGGAGCAACCTTCATCAAGAGGCCTACAAATTCTCTCGACGTTGCTGGACCAGTAAAGTGCTCCGCACCTACTGATCCTGTCCGTTTTTTGACGGTCCATCCCGTTGTTGCGTCTTTGCACCAACAGCGGACCCTCGTCCCTGCCCCTTTCTCATGGGTCGACGGTCATTACGCCCAGTGTTGCGAGACACTGGACGAGGGGCACTACACTCGTAAGCGTAGTGTCCTGTCTTTTGACATCTGTTGCATTTATGCAACTTCTTGTAGTCTGTAGAGCGAGCCTTCTCGCTCTCTACATAACAGAGTTCCATCGGCTCTGGACCTCCGCTGTCATATCGTCTTGGTTGACGATATGATGTCGAGCTGGCGCAAGCCTGTCTTAGACTGAACTCTTCCTGTTCCACAATGGAAATGGCTTGTTCTAGTGAATCTAGTTCAAGTCGGAACAGGTGAGTCTTGACGGGACCATCCGCAAGACCCTGCATGAACACCGAAACCAACGTGTGTTCATCCACCGGATTGGAACTTATACAACTCGTGAGATGTCGTATATGTTGTGCGTAAGCGTGCACATCACGCTTACCCTGTTTGAGCTTCAAGAGTTCAGTTCGAGCTCTGAACTCAGCTCTAGGCGGTCTAAACGTTTGTCTGAGCCGCGACTTGAAGACTTCTAACGACCCAAACGCACATGGGTCGTGCAACTTGAGCCCCAAAGTCCAAGTCTTGGCACGTCCTGCCAGATTTGATTGTGCAAATGCAACTTGCGTATTCCCGTCGTCGATGCGACGCGCCCTTATGGCGTCATCCAATTCGACGAACCATCTCAAGAGGGAGTCCTCTTCGACTCCCCTATACTTAGAGATGTCAATCGTC